TGTTGCCCAGACTGGTCTCTTGACTTCCTGGACTCAAGTGATCTCACCCTGGCCTCCCAGAATGCTGGGATCACAGATGTGAGCCAATGCACCTGGCCATAATACAATTTTTAAAATGAGAAAAACTGGGGTCAGGGAGGTTAAGCAATGGTCTCATAACAAGTACAAAGCAGAATAGCATTGTCCTGAAAGATGTGGTCCTTCTATCCCTGATACTCCATGATTTGAGATAGTCAAGTGTTATACTTCCACTAGAAGGCAGAAAATGATGTGAATATCCACCTTACTTAAGCAGGAGAAAAAAACTGGTTCACTAAGGCTGTAATAAATTTAGAAACAATCAATTTAAATTCTTTTTTTTTTTTTTTTTTAAAAGGAGATCTGATTTCTAACTCAGGCTGTCATGCAGTGGCATGATCTTGGCTCACTGCAACCTCTGCCTCTTGGGTTCAAGTGATTCTCCTGCCTCAGCCGCCTGAGTAGCTGGGATTACAGGCACGTGCCACCATTGCCCAGCTAATTTTTGTATTTTTAGTAGAGACGGGGTTTCACCATGTTGACCAGGAAGGTCTCAATCTCTTGACCTTGTGATCCACCCGCCTCGGCCTCCCAATGTGCTGGGATTATAGGCGTGAGCCACCGTGCCCGGCTTGAATTTTTTATTATATATTTCTACTGAAAATATATTGATATCGAATATGTTCTGGAATAAATTCATAGTCGTTTAGAAATTATTAAATTTCATTTTGTGGACAATTGTAGGAAACAAAATGAAGAAAATACTCTTGAAAAAAAATCCTAACATAGGAACATTTAGAGTTCTAACATACACATTTCTTGATATAAAGTTAAAAAAGACTTATGGAATACCTTTTAAAATTTTAATTTAATTAATTTATTTATTTTGAGACAGAGTCTTACTCTGTTGCCTAGGTTGAAATGCAGTGGCACAATCTTGGCTCACTGCAACCTCCACCAGGTTCAAGCAATTCTTGTGCCTCAGCTTTCTAAGTAGCTGGAACTACAGGCATGCACCACCATGCCCAGCTAATTTTTGTACTTTTAGTAGAGATGGGATTTCACCATGTTGGCCAGTCTGGTCTTGAACTCCTAGCCTCAAGTGATCTACCTGCTCCAGCCTCTCAAACTGCTGGGATTACAGATGTGAGCTACCACACCCAGCCTGGAATATTTAATATGAGCTAGCAACTACTGCTAAGTGCCAGAGATATAAACATGAGTTAGACAAAAGTCCTTGTCTCTAGAAATTCATAGCCTAGTGCAGCAACAAACTAGTTTTCTGCCATATCCACTGAAGAAAAAATAAAAGACCTCTTTTAAGTCCAAGGTAATGCCACATATACTGCATACATTTAAAGTATATGTTGGCTTATATATTCTGATCCATATACATACATAAAAACATATACAACACATATAAATATACACATATGCTCACATACCCACCCACTGATAATCTGATCCTTATGAATACTTGGAGAACTAGGTCAGATTTCATTCTTTGCAATACAATTTTTATTTTTATTATTTATTTGAGACAGGGTCTCACTTCATTGCCCAGGTTGGAGTGTGGTGGACTGCAGCCTTAACCTACTGGGCTCAAGCAGTCTTCCCACCTCAGCTCACTCTCTTCTTCCCTCCCAGTAGCTGGAACAGGCATGT